CTAACTAGAATATGAAGATGTAATAAAATCCTCTGTAAAAACACTATCTTTCAAGAAAAATAATCAATTTTTTATTGAGTTAATCCAAAACAAATAAGAGAATAAGTGAAAATAACACCATTTTTTTTCACCATATTGGTCGATGTTCAAGCTACATTCAATTTTTAGCTACCCACCAAAATTTTCACTATCACCTATGATTTTTTTTATAAGGAATTATATGTTTCACGAGTATTATTTCACTTGTTTTTCTATATATTTTTTTGGAGTATTCTTTGATACAAGTAATTTCATACTTTTTTGGTAGAGGAAGAAAGAAACAAAGGAAAAAAAAAGTTACAACCGAAACTAAGCAACTATTTAGGTGAAGTCACTTATCAAATTGTTTCACCTTATTCTCTTGCAAACCTTCATAGTATCTTCCATGCTTTATAATTGGGAAAAATTGTTCAAGGTCCTTCCCATGTCATCAAATTTTATAACATCCAAGTTATGGAAAATTTCACCTATGATAAATTGATGTTGAGAATTGAAGACTAAAGGGTGAAACACTAAGAGGAATAAAATTTTTTTAGTTAAAATTTTCTAAGAATAAGCTACTAATGAGAGTGTCGTCTAATAGCTAACTGAAAGTTAGATGAAAGAGGCATATTCATCTTTATTTGCCAAAGGTAGAATTTGATAGGCAAATTTTCTTTTAAGAAGGAGTTGAAACATCCCCATTTTCCTTTAAAAATAGTATGTATGTATGTATTGATATTTATTAAATGTTATTTTGAGGTTTTTAATTAAATAATATGTATTTTGGATTTTATGGATAGAGAAATAAAAAGTGAGATTTTAGCAAGAAATGAGCTAATGTGTTTTAGTAAAAATAAGTATGGAATTTTGTCTTTGTGAGTCCAACTCTTCCTTTAGAGTCATCAGGGTTATACGACGTAGTCTTCCTTGATCCTTTTGTTTTTTTTTTGCCTCTTAGGAATGCTTTTTTCATTAGAATTGCAAATGGAGGAACTAGAAGTTGGAGAGTGTTTGAAATCAAAGTTTGGAATCATTGCCACGATAGGATTATTTTTATGTTAGAGAAATTAAGTTATCTCGCTTATGGTCATGGATTGAAATATGGGTAGTGAGTTGACCCTCAACTTTGTAGGTTTTCATGTCATCTTATTTGTTTGCTTGGTTTTCTCATATAGATAGTGAATATCTTGAAGCCCATTTTCCTTATTTTATTAGTTATTTGGATTACTCATGTGATTGCGGGATTTGTTGTTGTGTGTTTCAAATATTTGAGGTTTTTGACAAATTAACTTTTGTGATGATTTTATGTGTGATTTAAGATTCTTCTGATTGTGCAATTTGGATTTATTTTGCATGTTACATACACAATTGTATTGAATTGAGATACAATGGTTTCTATGTTAAGAGTTGTGTTGATTGAACCAATGATGAGTTTTTTGAGATGGGGTTGAAAAATCCTAATTTCTGTAATTCACAAGTTTCCAAGTCTCTTTTGCTAAATGCAAGATTCCCAAAGTTGTAGGATTCATTTTTGACCCTCTAGTGCTAAGTGAGACAAGATTCTCACTAAACATGAAATCCAAAAAGAAAATAGAATTGGTGACTCTAACGTTGAGTATGAGTGTCCTCACTTTAAGCATAAGAGCCATGAAGAGTGACTCCCTGTTTAGACACTAAACGAGGTCTGATCTCGCTAAGCATAAGACCCACAACGAGTACAATGAATTTTGACATTGAGCATAGGACCCACAATGAGTATAGGATATTTAGACACTAAGCGAGACAATGTCATGCTATGCAAGAGAGCCATAATGAGCAAAAAATATTTTGATGCTTAGCATGAGGTGATTCGCTCTAAGCATGAGAAAGCCAAAGATCAACCTTTGTTCTTTTATCTCTCCTTGCTAAACGAGAGACTTTGTGCGCTAAGCATGATTGCCTTGAGTGTAAGATATACCTAAGATATGTGATTTGTGAAAATAATCTATAATAAAAATACTTGAGACAATTGAGCATTGAATTTGAGATAATTAACAAGCTTGAGATACTTGTGGACATGAGAACCTTGAAGCATTTAATGTGCATTTTTGAGACATTTGATATTTGAGAGGATCTATTTTAATGGAATAGGATCTAACACGAGAATTTGGAGAAAATGTGACATGTTATGAGAATATTGAGATATTTGATAATTGTTGAAATTGTATGAGTAATGTGTATGGCCATGCATCATCAATACATGAAACTAAGTTTTTTGGGGTACATGATGTAAGTCCTATGTTAAGGAAGTTGGGATAGACCATTGAATCTTGACCTTCAGGGTGTGCTTAATTTCGAATTTTCATATAATCCATGTTAATCCCATGAGTTCGAAGTACCCTTGCAAGATTTTGTATTCATGATGAGTCACTTGTGGATCTTACCCTACCTAAGAGTGATAGTGTTGAAGTGTTCATGGTGCTAGTGGCAAGTGTAGATTAGTTCGAATGGGGCAATTGACCCCACAACATTTTTTATACTTATATTATATTTAATAAATAAACAAATTGTCCCAATAATACATATTTTAAAATAAAGATAAAAACTAAATAAATAAAAAAGAGAATAAATTAGTATTAATTTTACTATTTTACTCTACTATTTTTTTCCTATTCTCATTACTAAACACACTTTAAAATTGAGCCAGTGATACAAATACACACAAAAAAATACACCTTTTATTTTCAGTTTTTGTCATGAGATTTTGTATTTTGTAAACAAATTATACATCCTCTAGCTTATTATAACACACTTTTAATCGAATCACGCATACCAATATAAATAGTTATGTTGGTTAATTTTATTGGATATATAAAGCAAAATTATAATTTACCAATTTTAACATCTTTACTTGTCATTAAATTTTCATAAGAAGGGTAAAAAATTTCCAATACCAAATCAGGACAGAATTTTTATTGTTCATTTTTGGGGGAATTATCAAGCTAGCAGGAACTAAACTGCGGATTATTTCAACTTATCACCCAAAACAAATGGTCAAACTGAGTGACAGATCAAACTCTTGAAACTTACTCGAGGTGCTTTGTCAATCTCACCCAGAAATGGGTTAAGCGGGTTCCTTGGGCTGAATTCTACTTCAACTCAAATGTCACTCTTCAAGGCTTAGTATGGTAGAGACCTCCAGTAATAATAATAAAGGTGACACTGTCATTGAGCAGTAACAAGTTATTGGTTTTTGAGGGATGATAGTTAGTATGAATTAAAGATTAACTTGAGTCAGGCACAACAAAAAATGGAAAACCTGGCTAATAAACTAAGGAGGGAGGTAGAATTTCAACCTAAAGAATTTGTGTATTTGAAGCTTCAGCCTTACTGGATGGTCTCACTGACTATGAAGGTGAGTGAAAGGCTCCTTCACCTTTTTATAACCCTTTTGCAGTTGAAAGTAGGGTGGGACAAGTGGCTAGTAAATTGGTTTTACCTTCATTTTCTCATACTCATTCTCTTTTCCATGTGTCTCAACTTAATAGACCCATTAGTGCAACCATTCTATGTTAACATCTGCTGGTTGTTTAGAATTGCAACCTTAGACAGCACAAGTGTTAGTTGCTGGCTTGGAAGCTTTTCGTAAACCATTGAGAAATTGATTCAATGCATGTTTGGAAACCCGTTAGAAAACCAGAAATCATGTCAATTGCGCTACAAAACGTGGGGAAAGCTATAATTACTAGCCTCCAAGTAAACATGAAAAATCACATTTAAGACGGGGAACCAAACAAGATCGAAAGGGGACAATCTCCCAGCTCATGAGCATTCTCGGGAAGATTTTGACACTATTCTTCAACAGTTTCTTCACTTTCACCTTGAGGGCAATGTGGCATGTGCTAGGGGAGAAAATTTTCCATTGGTAGACCTGTGACTCGTGTATACTGAAAATATGAATAGGCTGAAGTTCAATGATGGACCTTATAACAAGAGAGGAGAAAATTAGAAAATGACTACAGCAAAGAATGTGCCAAGGGAGGAAGAGAGAGAAGGTTATAGCAGCAGAGACGTTTGTTACATGTAGGGCACGAGGAGTAGGAAATTAATGGTGGTTGGTTCAAC